TCCAGGATCCTGCCCTGTTTAAGTTCCTGTCTTCACTTCCTTCCTGTGCATGGGGAAGAGGAGCCCTTGTGTGGAAACATACTTATTGTTGACTTTACAATGTAGTGAGCACACCTCAGCTGCTTTTACAGTCTCCATGGAAAGCAGATTTCCTAATTTGTAGAGTCCTAGTTTTCTCTAGTATCTTCTCAAACTTCTTCTGTACTTGACACTTAATAAGCAATTGTAGGATCCCTTTGGAGTTATTTTGTCCAGATCGTAACATTGATGTTACTAATATATTTGCATGTAATGCCACAGTGTTCCAGTCATCTATTAGTAAAGCCATACTAAATGTATTTCCTGGTCTCATTTTTCAAAACTGACTATATTTTAATTGTGTTCTTCTGTCTGTTTGCCCTCATGTTCTGTTGATCTCCTTATTCTTTTCCAGACAATACAATCTTTATGGTAGTTGTATTCAAAGTTTGAAGTCAGATGATGGCACTGTGTGTGCTGTTTATTCAGTCTTATGTTGATCATTTTTCATTCATGATGACCTTTTGTCATCAGTTTTCTGTTGCTGATGGCATAAATTATTAGACTTTTTATTGGACTTTTGATAAACCTATACCTCAAATTCTGAATTTCCAAAATTGATATAATAGCCAAGATAGCAGAAAACCACAGAGTTCCTTTCTACTCAAGGTTAGTCCAGCTCCCTGCTAAGGTAAGCCCATTTTCCATCAGTCACAAGTCCCAGTGGGATCCATACTTCTCAAAGATTCAATGTGCACTGTTACACCATTTCTTTGAAAAGGCACTTTAATTAGATTAGCGTGAATATAGGAGGAAATGCGCATATGGACTAGGCAGATAGGTCCCAAAAATCAAAGGAATAGAGAAACAAATTGCATGGCCTCAAGCAGAGACAGTTGAGTCCATCTGTGTGTCTTTGCATACACATTATAACTGTGGAAGCCAAACATTGTCATCCAGGTCTTTCACTTTCTCTTCAGGCCCCAGACACAAGATGTTTCTTGGCCCCATTTTATCCCAGTTGAGTGTGATCCAGCTTGTGATTAGACAGATTTGAATATGGTCTGCATTGTGATCAGACAAATTTGTGGCTCTTGCCGGGCAGTGGTGGCGCACGCCTTTAATCCCAGCACTCGGGAGGCAGAGCCAGGCGGATCTCTGTGAGTTTGAGGCCAGCCGGGGCTACCAAGTG